TGTATAGACACGGGCAAGAGAGCGCCACAGAACAGAACTCTCTGGAACTAGGGCAGCGTTTGGGCCACGCCGCTAAAGGAAGAAAGGACTCCGTCTCCTAATTTTGTTCAGAAGTCAAATAAATAAAAAAAATCCGAATTTCAAAATCCGGCTAGAATTTGGGAGTTCGTGTTTTTTTGACAAACACGGCCATCCGGTTCCCAGCGACAGGCTGACGGTGGCGCCCTAGGGTTTTCTATTTTTGCATGAGAAGGTTGAAATTTGGAAAATAAAAATATTAAATAATATAATTTAAAGATGGAAAAACTATAAAAATGAAATATACATACAAAATAAATCTATTTATTTGCTTTTAATATTTTTCTGTTTTAAATATTCACAAAAGATAAATGATTAATTGATATCACGTGTTAGTATAAAACACCTACACCACATTTTACACCGTTGATTTGCTCAAAATCAACAGTATAAATTAATTACAGTAATCTTTCACTAATTTTTAATAATTAATTTAAATTTAAATCAATTGTAATTAATTTATACCATTGATTTTGATAAAAGTAATAGTGTAAGATGTGGTGTAAATCTTTACACTTACCCCTAGTATCAATTAATTCATTCTTTTCACAAAAATGGTTTTGGACTCATAATTAGTCATCCAATTAAAACTCCCAGGAAAAAATCAAAGGGCGGAAAAACTTTAGTCCAATGTTTTGAATATTTTCCAAAAACCAAATTTGGTCATCTTTAGGCAGATCCATAAAATATTAAAAACACTAAATGCATGATATTTAATAATAAATACTTTTTGAAAACTGCTATTTCGTTTGTTTGATTGAATTTTTTTTTTTAGCTATAGAAATTAATTTGTTACAAATTTTTATATTAAAAAATAAAAACAAAGACATCACATTGCATTACATGTTTTGGTATTATAAATATTATTTAACACAATTTTTGATAATTATACAAAAAAATTTATACATAATTTATGTTTTTTTCTTATTATTTTGTTTAATATGTAAGAAAATATATCAACTTTATGAAAATCTAATTTTAATATTTTAAACATTAAAAATGTAAATAATTATAAATATATAGCATCTATTTTTAACATCTATATGCAACATTTTTTGGGTACATATTGGAGGCCTTATACGTGACATTTTTAATAACCTATAAAAACGTCAATCTTTTTTTTTTAAATAATAGAAGGGTGATATCTAACAACGCCCGCGCGCCCCCAACCGCCACTTTTGTTCCATCTGGCATCTTCGGACGAAGAGAAGGCCCGCAAAAAGTTCTACGGAGGATTTAAATGGGCCAACGTTCTACAATTGGATTGGGTCTCCCACCTTGGCGCGGCCCACCCAATAGAGGAAATTTACTTATTTAGCCCGCCTCTTTCCCCCAAGAAAAGAAGGAAAAGAAACTCTCCCATGAAAATTGGGCGCAATTTCAGTATGTGAGATATCTGATATATAACACCCCTTCACCTTTTATTTTAGTTATAAAAAATTTTTGGCTAATAAATGAAATTTTGAGTGGGAGTATGACGTTAACCACGTAACGGGTCCTATCTGATGTTTTGATAAATAGAAATAAAATAATTTTTTATAAGCAACCAATTTCTAGTTATATGGAAATAATTTAAAATTTGAGCCATTTTAGAAGGAAATGATAATACCACACAACAAGTTTTCTTTTTTTGATATGATCACGTGGTAAATTATTAATCATATTTAAACTTTCGACATTAGATAATTCAAAATTTAAGTTAAGACCATTGTATTTAAACAAAAGCTGATTAAGAAATAAAGTAAACTCAATTGTCCTGGCCCTTCCCCGCGGGACGAGAAAAGTTTCTTTTTTCTTTTTTCATTACATAAAGGGTCAAAATATCAAAAAAAAAACCAAATTAAATTAAATCACATTACAAAATTTTGAAAAATAGAGATTTTCATCAAATCACATATGAAAAGGCTCCTCAACTAATTAACGATAAGTTCAATCTTTCAAACTAAAATCGTATAAAAGCTTATGATAGACATAAAATTTGCATTGCTATCATTTTTCTTTGTTACATACTTTATCTCCACTCATTAATTTTAATAAAAAAGAGCTTAATTCTAGATAAAATTATAACCCAAATTAATTTGGTAACGAGCTTTTCAATATCAGGTCCAATAAAGATTTAGAATCCTTCCTACAAGTTTGAAGGAGATAGCCCCGTTGAAAGTTATTCGAAAAGTTTGTTGAAGGTTATTGAAAAAATTTAAGTTTTGGAAAATTGGCAACAGTGAGAAATTTGCCTTTGAAATGATAAATGGATTAACCCGGACTTAACCCTTACTAGTTCTAAAGTTAGCGATAGTAGGGTCCTTGATAGGTGCAAAGTTACTGAGATGGTGGATAGTAATGGAGAATGGAAGTAGAATCTGCTCAGTGAGCTCTTACCCGCTGAGAAAATTCACAAGCTTCATGTTGTTTTGCCCTTTTCTCTAGTGCATGGGCCTGACAAATTAGTTTTGCCAGCGGAGGGTGGTGGTGAATTTAATATTAAGAGTGCTTACAAGATGATGTAAAGACACTCAGAAGAGTCAAGTCAGCAAGGTTAGAGTACTATCCAGAGGCTCAAGGTACCAAAAAGGGTTAGAATTTTTGTTTGGTTGATATTGCGCAGTAAGCTTCTCGCTGATTATAGAAGATCAAAATGGAATTGTTGTTATCTAGGATGTAAGGAGTGTAGAGCTATCGTTGAGTCTATCATCCATGTTATCAGGGACTATCAAGTGACAGTAGAAGTGTGGGTCAATTTAGTGCCTTCCTCTTTAAGGGCTAGCTTATTTATGTTGGAGGATAAGGAATGGTGCGATGCAAATCTATAGTCATCCTCAAACATGGGTTTGGGCGAAGAATGGGTAGCAATTTGGGCAATCGTGTCCTCGTACATTTGGGACTGGAGAAAGAAGTGTATCTTTAAAGATGACTTCGTTGGGCCAGCAAAACTCGCTAAAGTTATTAAGTGGTGAATGACAACGAGCAAACAGTCGAGTTCTGGAAGTACGGTCCACGCTAGTGCCAATGCATAGGGATAAAGTTTTCTAGTTACTTCAGGATGTGAGCTGGATTAAACTAAATATAGATGAAATGTCAAAATCAAATAATATGTAAGCAGGTTGTAAAGGTCTTTTAAGAGACTATAGGGAATGTTGGATCAGGGCTTCTCCAAGAACACTGGAATAGTGAATGTGCTGGATGCTGAAGCATGGAGAGTTTTGGAGGGTTTTAAAATGACTTGGAATTTGGGTTTTATAATAATTATCGTTGAGACAAATTTCAAAATTCCGATAGACTTTTTGTCTTAGAAATTGGCTAATACCTCTAGGTGAATACTATTTTTGGATATAATTAAATATTTCATTGAGAAAAATTAGATAGTGGAGGTCAAGTATGTAACGAGAGAAGTTAATAGTGAGACTGACTTGTGACCAACTTAAGCTTATCACATGATTTAGTCTTAAGGATTGGAATGTCCTCCAACGAATTGAAAGAATTTTTCTTTCCATTAGGTCGTGGAGTTTCTACTCCTGCGATTCAACAATATAGCTTTCTTTTTTTCGGGACTTTTGCCTCCACTGTGACACTCCCCCCCCCCCCCACACCACCCCCCCCCCCCCCCCAAAAAAAAAAAAAAAAAAAAAGGTTTAGAATCCTCCGCGGAAGGGAGAAGTTGGTTGTCAAAACAAAACAGCAAACAATTTAATTTGTCATGGGCAACCAAGAAAACCAAAAAGATGAAGCGAGATGACAGCTACTGCGAATAATCCAAAATTTCCAGAGTAGAGACAGTAAACGAAATTGTGCCAGAAACATCCTTTCACAAACTACAATGATTTTCAAGACTGATCCGTCTGTCTATAGATAAGACCCCTCCCCAATGTTGGGATTCTCATCGAGGTTCCGTCCTTATATATATATATATATATATATATATATATATATATGAATTAATTTCAAATGGTAGCCTAGCTTCCAATTCATTTATCTATTTTGACTTATAATAAGAGTGTTTTTCTGATTTTAAAAAAGAGAGAAAATTTATGAGATTATTATAATTGGATAGCTAAAATGGTGAGAAAATATTAGATAAATTAAATATTGTTTGAATTAAAATTATGAATGAGTTGAATTTTAATTCAAATTTGTTTTGATTTTTATTATTTAAATTTAATTAAATTATTCAATAAATTAGATTTAATTATAAAAATCTCTTAAATTTGAATAAATAAATCGAACATAAAATTAAATAATTCAATATATTAAAATTTTGAAATTAAAATTTAATAATAAATTTTATTAAATTAATAATCTCATACATTAATAAATTAAAATTTATAATAACTAAATTAAAGAAACTAGCAAATTTTAAAATTAACATAATTGATAAAATAGAATTGAGAGTGCTATTTTTTTGTCAGATTAGATTTCTATTAAATTTTAGATTATTTATAAAATTCGAATATAGATAAGACTTTAGATTCAAACCAATCCAATTTGATCCAAACTTGACCAATTAATAATCCTAATTTGAGTCTCTTCAGAATACTTGAAATTGAAAATAAACCAAAATTTAGATATTATTTACTCATAGAAAAAAGGAAATGTGACATTAACCCAAACCCTTAATGGGTTTTATTATTTAATTGTTAACACGTTAGTTTCTATTGAAATTTAAAACAAAGTCAATTTAAGCTTATATATAATTAGACTATCGCTGAGAGAATTTAGGGGATAGTGCTGTTTGGGCATATCCCTGGTTTTTACTAAGCAAAAGAATATCTCCGTGGATGATTTATTTACTAATTTCTTGTTCCAACCCAATACCAAGACCTAGTTTTAAACGTCCATGAATTAATTTCCGATGCTTCCTAACGCCTCTAACTATATAAAACCCCCCACTGGCACCACCTTCGAGCACCGGCATAAACACTACTAAGCCTATCACCGGCGGGAAAAAAAATGGAAAAAAATAATCTCGCCGTGCTCAACGCCCTCGACTCCGCCCGAACCCAATGGTATCACCTCACGGCCATCGTCATCGCCGGCATGGGCTTCTTCACAGATGCCTATGACCTATTCTGCATCTCCGCGATCTCGAAGCTCCTCGGTCGGCTCTATTACTACAATCCGCAGAAGAATGCCAAGCCCGGCAAGCTCCCGACGAAAGTCAACAATTTTGTTGTCGGAGTGGCCATCGTGGGAACCCTCGCCGGCCAGCTTGTATTTGGCTGGCTGGGAGACAAGCTTGGCCGGAAGAAAGTTTATGGGTTCACGTTGATTCTCATGGTCTTCTGCGCCATTTGCTCCGGCTTATCGTTCGGGTCGACCCCCAAGTCGGTGATGACCACGCTTTGCTTCTTCAGGTAAGGAGCAAGTGATTGCTGTATATTTGTAATATCTATAAGATCAGTTGGAATTTGTTTCGGAAAATTGTTTTTCTCTTGCAAAACCTATTTACAAATTGTCTCCAAAAAGTGTTTGTTCAAAATTTCAGAGAGTGATATATTTTAGAAAATAACAAAATATTGTTTTCAAGTTCACGAGAAATTACCCCCCTAAATAAATAATGAAAATGACATCAAAATAATTCAATAATTTTAAATTATTGTATTATCTGAAACATAAACAACCAAAAAATATATAGGATTATTATAATACTCTTTGTTGGAAAATTATTAACTATTTATTTGTAACGAAAATAAAATGTGGTGACCGTGCTATCACTCCCTTCTTAAGGTTTTGGCTCGGGTTTGGCATCGGTGGTGATTACCCGCTCTCCGCCACTATCATGTCGGAGTACGCCAACAAGAAAACACGAGGAGCCTTCATAGCTGCTGTCTTCGCCATGCAAGGCATGGGACTCATCTTCGCTGGCTCGTCTCCATGATACTTTCCAAGCTCTTCCTCATGAACTACGAGGGACCCCCCCTACCATGTTGACAACGTCTTCTCCACCGAGCCCCAGGCCGACTTCATGTGGCGAATCGCGCTCATGATCGGAGCTCTGCCGGCCCTCTTGACCTACTACTGGCGCATGAAGATGCCGGAGACAGGCCGATACACTGCTCTCATCGAAGGCAACGCAAAACAAGCCGCGATAGACATGGGAAAGGTTCTCGACATCGATATCTCCGAAGATCAGGAGAAGCTGCAACAGTTCAAATCTAAGAACGAGTACCCATTGTTCTCCAGCGAGTTTTTCAAGCGACACGGGCTTCACTTGATCGGAACTGCGAGTACCTGGTTCTTGCTGGATATAGCTTTCTATAGTCAAAATTTGGCCCAGAAGGATATTTTTCCGGCGATGGGACTCACTAGCAAAGCTGAAAACGTTAGTGCTCTTAGGGAGGTGTTCCAGACTTCCAAGGCCATGTTCATCGTCGCCCTTTTTGGCACCTTCCCAGGTATGGACGGGGATTTACGATTTAATTCTTATCTCAGCTCGGGTAAAATTCCGTTGAAAACAGCCTAACATTTGTCAAAATCGTTAAGGAATTGTGTGGTTTCTCCTTCATCTGGATTCTTATGAAAACAAATCTTAAGAACAAAAAAAAAGGAAGGATTTTAGGGCCTTCCAGCAGCAAATCCGGGGGAAAAAAAACTAATTAGAGCTTTTGAACAAAAAAGAAAATATCAGACTTTTGCAATTGAAGATTTCATGACTCCTGACAGTTGAAAAAAAATAAATAAATAAACCAAACATCTAAACTACACCTACTTGGTCGAGAAGAAGTACGAAAGTGTTATCAAAATAAAAGTCTCAAAATATCAAACATTTTTTAACCTTAATTATAAGTAAACTTTGGTAAATCACTTAAAGAATTACATATTTGCATTTCTTTTAATAAACTCGTGTCGTGATGAATATTTTCAGGCTACTGGTTTACGGTCTTCTTCATCGAGAGCATCGGCCGTTTCTACATCCAGCTAGTAGGCTTCTTCATGATGTCGGTCTTCATGCTGATAATGGGGATCAAGTACGGGGACCTGAAGGGCCACCCGGACAACAAGTGGCTCTTCGCGGTGCTCTATGGCCTGACATTCTTCTTCGCCAATTTTGGCCCCAATAGCACCACATTCGTCCTCCCTGCCGAGCTATTCCCCACTCGCCTCAGGTCCACGTGTCACGCCATCAGCGCTGCTTCCGGCAAGGCCGGTGCCATGATCGGAATCTTCGCGGTCCAAAGCTACACTCTCGGTGGCGAACCCCATAAGATCAAGAAGGCCATGATTGTGCTGGCGTTCACCAACCTGCTGGGCTTCGCTTGTACCTTTTTGGTGAGCGAGACTAAAGGAAGGTCTCTGGAGGAAATATCCGGCGAAGACGGCGGATTAGAGGAGAACGAGACCCAGATGACTAGTGCCCAGATGGCTAGGGTGCCCTCGGCTCGCCAGCACCAGGAGACCACATGGGAATGAGCCTTATCGTCTGTTCGGCTGACAGAAATTAAGTGAAAATGAATCCGGCAAGTCTGCACCTGGTTATATATATGATATTTAAACTCGTGGGGTTTAATAAAGGGGCAAAGAGTTTGTGTCTCTTTGCATCAAGGCTGTATTTTAACTTGCAAGGAGTCTCCCGCACGAATAAGAAGAGATGATGAGGTGACTGTTCGAATTATTAGAGGGAGTTTTTTTTTTTTTGATTTGTTGTTTTTCTTTCGTGAGAGAGTGATGAAATAAATGTGCAAAGGGGTAACAGTGGATTATGACGTGCTTTTAATTTAATATTTTAAGTTTTTTCCATGCAATTAAATCGGAAAATTAAAATCTGTTATTGCTTATTTTTCTTTAATTATGTCTGACAAAAAGCTTTAGCTTAATTCAGAAAGAGAAAAGAAAAAGGAAACTCCTGAGCATAATATAGAAAAATCCGACTCTGTTAGCTGGTTGTTAGACCCATTTAATTTTGTATTTAGATTTTTCTACTCAAATCAGATAAAGTGATTAATTTTTAAATCTCATTTGATAAAAAATAAGTTTTAAAATTATTTATGCGATTCATTTTGTTATAAATTATAAAATCAATTTCTGACCCCTTCCTTCTCTTGAATTTAAAATTTTTAATTAAGAGCATAAAAAAATTGGTCCAATCAATAACAAAACCAAACTGACGTGTTTGATTTTGTTCAAATTAATTTTCCATGTTAAATGTATGGTTTGCCTTAGATTTAAAAAAATTAAAAGTAAAAATTTTATATTAATTTAAAGTTGTCATTTTCAAAAATGGATTTAAATCAAAGTAAAATTAATATTTGCTTTTGCTTCTAACGTAATGAATGAATGATTTGTTTTTTTTATTTTTTTTATGTCGTTGGAATTTTGGACGATTTTTTCTCATTAAAGTCAGTGTACTTATTTTTATTATTAAAAATATATTGTATATTCGAATATTTTATCAATTTTGTATTTCATTTAGTGTGAAATTTTATTTATTTATAGTAATTTTAAAATAAACTAAAAAATTTTAAAAATGAACCAAGCCCAATAATAATTAGTTTTGAATTTGGTTGATTTTTATTATAACTTTTTAAAAATAAAATGAGCTTGGTTTGATTTTGTTTAAAATTCAATAAGGAATTACCCATATTGAACCATGGATGTAACCTGTTCACGGGCCTAGAACCGGCCCGGACTAGAACCGAACCGTCGGTTATAGTCTTGAAAAAATATAAATCAGGACCAGAACCTTGAAACTTAGTCCAGTTTTGGTTCCGATTAGGATTCATGCTGGTTTCAAGCTGATTTACGATTTCCATTTTGGTTCGGGCTAGTTCATGGTTTCAGACCCGTTTGTTCCCGGTTCATTAATGGTTCATTTGTGGTTCCGGTTTATTAACAGTTCGGTTTCCAATTCGTTCACCGTTCAGTTTTGATTTTGATTTGTCTGCGGTTCGGTTCGGTTTCAATTTGATTTTGTTAAAAAAAATTATTTATTAACTTATAAATTATTTGAAATTCTTTAAATAATCTATTTTCTAATATATTTAAACTATTAAATATTAAAAGATAGCTTTTCTTTTTATATATATATATATATAAATTAGCTACTTTAATTTATTGATTAATTGATGAAACTCATGACTCTTCTAACCTTCTAATTTTTTATTATGTACAATTAAATGTGTGCAAATCACAAATTTGGTTTGATTTTTTATAATTTGGTTAGGTTTTTTGGTTTTAATACTTTAAAAATCAAACCAAACCCATTTAATTATAAACCAAAACAAACAAAACCTAAAATTTCAATTTGATTTGGTTTGATTTTAAGTTAGATTTATTAATATTTAAAAAATATTTAAAATAATTTTTTTATTATTAAATATGTGTATATATACATATATATGTATGTGTGTGTGGTGTGTATACTCATATAAATATAAAATATATATATATGCATGTATATGTACACATATATATGGGTATATATAAATCATAATATTAGTTTGGTTTTTGATAATTAAGTTTGAGTTTTTAGTTTTTTTTTTTTAATACTTTAGAAACCAAACTAATCTAATTTAATTATAAATCAAACTAAACTAAACCTAAAATTTCAATATGTGTATGTATATGTATTTGTATATATATACATAGATATATACATAACACATATATATTCGTAAAAATATAAAATTTGCAAGTGTGTGTATATGCATAAATACGAAAGTACATGTATTTACCTATTTATATATATGTACATATATACATACATATATATATTTACATGTGTGTGCGTGCATGCATATGTATATGTGCGTGTGTATGGATATATTTATATATATTATAAATATATGTATATGTATATATACTTATATTTATATGAATGGATAAAATTTATATATGTGTGTGTATATATAAGTATGTATGTATGTATGTGTGTTTGTGTACACATATATATTTATATAAATATATGTATGTGTGTGCGTATTTTTTTATGAAACAAAATATTTTTAAAATTTTAGTTTTTTTTGTTTAGAATGGTTTAGTTTTGGTTTTTTGACCAAAACCAAACAATAATTTTGAATTATTTTTTTAATTCAAATCAAACCAAATTAAATTTAAAAAAACCAAACCAAAAATAAAAAATTAGTTTGGTTTTGCACACCCCTATGTATAATATATTTTATTTTAACTTAAAATGAAAAAATAGAAAAATTTTAAATTATAAAAATTAAACTTTTAAAATACTAAATATTTAACGGTTTATCATGTTCATTTACAATTATGGTTTACGGTTCGTACACGATTTCAGTTCACGGTTCACTCACGATTCTGGTTCACAATTCACAGTTCACGATTTATTTCCGATTCCGGTTCACAGATTTCTTTACAGTTCCAGTTTCCATTCAGAAAAAAGCTAAATCTTAATTCGACTATAAACTTTCACAATTCAAAATTAGACCAAATTAAATATTACCAATTCAATCTAGTCTGATCTGATTTTTTTTAAGTACGAACTAGGCCGGACCAGTTCACGGTCCGAATTTTAACCGTGAACGGGGATGCATGATTTTAGCTCCTATGTATAAATAAAAAAATAAAGAAAATAAAGGCGGAGGGCTGTTTGGAATCTAAAATTGTTGTGTCCCGGTTATCGACGTCGACTTCTAGTACAAAGGGTAAATATGTCAAACCAAATCGCCCGGGAAATGGAATCCAAATTCCCGCGAACCAAATTCCGAACTATCCACCCCGTCACCAAACACGTCGGGTATTGAGTACGCACTAGAGCACCAAATTGAAGCCAAAGGAGGACCCACTTCCACAAAGGCCAAACGGGGGAAAAGGAAATTGGCCAGACAAACACCACACAGCCCCCTCTCTCTTCGCTTTTCTCTTCTACCAGCTTCGGATATACTTTACCCAGGACTGCGGCGATCCTTCATGAATGGGAAATGGAGATCGAAGAGATCGAAGCAGTGCTCGAGAAAATCTGGGATCTCCACGACAAACTCAGTGATGCCATCCTCTCGATTTCCGAGCTCACTATCTTAATTGCATCAAATCCCGTAGCAAGTCGGATGATTCTCCGCTCCACGAAAAGAATAAGCCCTTCCCCAAAGGAGGCTATAACGGTGTCGCTGGAGATGACCATCGCCGGAATGGGTTCGTATACGTGAAGGGTTTCCAAGTTGACGGCGATGAAGAGTATTCTGCGATTCAGGAGGCGAGGAGCCTCAACGCCATACGTACAGCCCTTGAGAACCTCGAGGACCAGCTCGAGTTCCTCCACGTGAGTATCGGTATTCCTTTTTATTTCTTATTTTCCTTTGGTTGGGCCTTTTTCTCTGAAATTCGTTTTTGATTTCTAGGGGCTTCGCTTTCATTTGAATGTCGGACAAGATAAGGGGTGAAAACTGTGTTAGTTTTACTTGAAGATGTTGTACTAGGCTCTGATGTGTGATACTTAATGGTACATATCGGATTTAGATTGCGCCTTTTCCCCCTTTCTTCGAACTGCAGCTTTCGTTTGTTTCCATATTAGTTTAAATGATGAAGATAATAGGAACTCTGATTTTACTGAGACTTGAAGAAGGTCTGGTAGTGCTTTCAACGCTGGAATTTGTTGGCTCTTGTTGTTTCAAAATTGATTTGCAGAGAATTTAGGGCTTTGATTAACGCACAGAAGGATTCAGGACTTTGGACTTGGAGAAAGGAAAAGGGTGAAAGTTGAAGATGGTATGTGTGCTTTCAACACTATGGTGAACTGTGACTTAATAGATAGGAAGAAGACAACTAAAATACTGCAAGAGTCTCACCTACTTTTACAGGAATCACTTCCCAGAGTATGCAGCAAATCTTTTATAGGTTACGATCTTATTTCGACTAGACTATGATTTGAAAGAAAAAGAGGATTTTATGTTTAGACTAAGGTATTATTTCGAACATAATTAAACATTGACAAAATGGATTGATAAAATAAGACAACCTACGTGACAAATGGTGATCTGCACACCGCAAGTTTGGCAATTTACAAGATTATCAAATTTTCTTGATAACTGAACCCTAAATAAAAGCTACAAGATATATATGGCTGCCAGCTGTCTCATACAAAATGTAAATAAATTGAGGCAACAAATTGATATACACGATTGTATAAATACTATAAAAACCCATTACATGCCCTTAGCGAAGTTTCACGTTGCCATTCTCTGCTGCCCATGTTGCGTGCATCATCAACTCTCGTAATTGCCTCTGGTTTTTGACACGCAGTTGTACGTAACAAAACAACATTCTACCAATTTTATATATTGTGAAAATTTCAAAGTTTATGACACAAGATTAATTTCTGCATCAGATTAATGTTAGGCAGGCTTACATGTAACTATTTGGATTGATTTTGTATTTTGTCTTGTTTTACACACACACACACACACACCCCCACACCCCCTAAACTATAGAGATTGAAACAGTGAGGTAGAAGGGTAATGACTGTTGTGAATCAAACGTTGAATACATGACCTTTGGTCTGTTTGAGGGTTTCACCTACCTTTTATTTTTATTTTTATTTTTTTTTTCATTGGGTTGGGGAGGGAATGGAGGGTTTTATGGAATGGGAAGGAGGGTTTTAATTCTGTAATACTTTACTTTCACTGGAGGATAAACTGCACTTGTGATGATTCTGTATCAAGATTGAGAAGGGCGCTACTTTGAAATAATCATTGTAGCACTACACCAGTACTCTGGCACATCTCTAAATTGATATGGTTTAGGGTAAAATTTGCACCAAACTAAGGAGAATTGGTTTGACCTGGAGGTGCTGCCAAGATAAGATTATTGATGATATTCTTTGCAGTATTGAAGATGGAGTATTATACAATAGCTGACTGTAGTCCATGATTGGAGCTTGGTTGAGTATAGTTCCATTGATGTTTTCTAGTTTTTGCTGCTATCAGGAGCTTCTTTTTTTTATTATTTCCTAATGTACGTTACAACTTAATCTGCAAGAAGATTATTGCTCGCCATTAATATTATGCATAGATTTATGTGGTCTATATTGAAATATCTTTCATAAATTATTCTTTTTTATCTCTGTATGCTAGCACCTTTTTTGTAACTTTTTATACTTTGTAGTCATTTTGACGTTATGTTCCACAGACTGTGCATGTGCAGCAGAGGGCAGAGAGAGATGCTGCAATTGCAAGTCTAGAACAGAGCAGGATTGTTCTTGCGATGAGACTGGCTGAACATCAAGGTAAGAAGTATAAAGTCATCGAAGAAGCGCGAGCTTTTGTTGGTGATGTGCGTGATGCTGGTTGTTTTGTTTCTTCCAATGACCATCACGGTTCTGCTTCCCATGAAGGAAAAACATCAAGTAGTCTCATCAAATTTCTTGTTACTAGTTTCAATTTTGCCAAGGAATCCCTTAAAATTGATCAAGTTGGAGGCATATTGGGAAATGCTGCCTTGTTTACATTAAGCATGCTTGCATTATTGCATCTGAATCAAAGATCTAGCAAGGTTAAGTACATTACAGATTACCCGCAGAAGCAAGAAGATTTGATTTACAAGAAAAATTTAGGGAGAATTTCTAGGGCAGATGGTTCTTCAACCAGTTGTACTTTGTCCCAATTGGATGTGATGTTGGCTAGGGGCTAAAATGAAGATAGCTAAGCTGAGCATTTTGTTGAGTTCAAACTGCTATCTTTAGGATGTTTATGATGGAGATTATGCTTGTGATGATTACATAGTCAAAAACACTTCACAATCTGGTGATTTTGCCACGAGTCCAGATGTGTTAATATTAGTGATAGCCGTTCTTTTGTTCATTTGTAGTTTTCACTTTCCCTGTCTTTGAGGAAGTTTGCCTGTAGAAATTTCAGATGTATCTCTTTCCGGTCAAGATATACACCCGATCTGCTCCCAAATTACTATTACAGAATTCTTTAATATCACTGTTGAAAGATTATGAAGTTAATGAAACTATTTGTTTGTTGGTTCCAGATGATGGTTCAGCTTTCTTTTCCCTTGGGTTATTCATATTAATTATTTAAGAATGCGTCTAAACATTTTTGTGGAATTTTATTCGAATCCAATTCTCTTCTGGCACTTTTCAATAAAACCCAAGTTCTGTTTTATTTTTATTTTACCTTTTTCTTTGGTGTGTCCAGAGAGGGGATTAGGATTTTTGATTAGGGATGAGACGTGGATTTTTATGATTTATTTTGTTTTTTACTTGGTTGATTATACTAATACTTTAACATCGATTTAAATGATATTTTTAAATTAAATATATCCAAAATTTATATCATATTAAAGGACATGATTTTTTTGTAGTTATAATAAATAATGCAAAATGTTTTAAGTAAAATTATTTAAATTAAAATATGTATTATTTGATGGAAAATATAAACACTCAATCTTTATTCCATGAACTTGAATGATCTACAAAAGGTCTTATTTATAGGAAAACTAATCCTAGATCTAATAGGAATTATAATTCTAGTAAAACTCTAATTCCTTTAAAGATAATTACATAGAAATTAAATCCTAATCTAAAATAAATACAAGAAATTATCTTTAACACCCTCCTTTAAACTGATAACTACGGAAATCAGTTTAGAGAGATGTCCTTAACTGAAATCATCCTGAGTCTTGATCGAAGCTTCACAAACACATCTTGTTTGAGGGGTTTGGTCATAATATCTGCAACTTGTTCACCACTTGGACAAAACTCAAGGTTGATCACACCACTATTGCATTGATCACGTAGAAAGTGATAACGAACATCTATGTGTTTGCTTCTCCCATGTAACACTGGATTTTTGGAAATCTTGATTGCTGAAGCATTATCACAAAAGATAGTAGTTGGTCCCGCCTGCTTGCTTTGAAGCATTTCCATCAACTTCCTTAACTAGATAGCTTGACAAGAACATGTTGTTGCAGCAACGTACTCAGCTTCTGTAGAAGATAAAGTAACTATCTGTTGTTTCTTTGATGACCAAGAGATTGCTCCAGAACTCATCATGAATACATAACCTGATGTACTCTTTCTGTCATCAATATCTCAGCATAATCACTATCTGTAAAGCCAATAAGCAAATCTTCATTATCTCCTTTCTGATAAAGGATTCCAAAGTCAACTGTACCTTTCAAGTATCGCAGAATCCTTTTGACAGCTAATAGATGATTTTCAGATGGATTTTCCATATACCGGCTTATTAAACTGACACTATACATAATGTCCGGTCTTGTTGCGGTTAAGTACATCAAGCATCCAACCATCTGTTTGTAGACTGTGGGATTCACCTTCTTCCCTCAATCATCTCTTTTGAGCTTGAGACCATATTCAGTGGGTGTGCTAACAGGATTGCAATCCTTCATCTGGAATCTATCCAAAATCTCAAGAACATATTTTCTTTGTGAAACAAAGATTCCAAGTGATGACTGAGAAACCTCAATACCAAGGAAGTAATGCATCAAATCTAGGTCTGACATTTCAAATTCTGACATCATATTCTCTTTGAATTCAGCAAGCATACCTTTGTCATTCCCAATGTAGATGAAGTCATCCACGTACAGACATACCATAAGTATACTTCCATTGGTATGAGTTTTTGTGAAGAGAGTATGTTCATAAGGGCACTTCTGGAAACCTGCTCGAGTGAAATAAGCTTCAATACGACTGTACCAAGCCCGTGGGGCTTGTTTTAAGCCACATAGAGCTTTTCTGAGCTTGTAGACTTTATGCTTATTGCCATGCTTGGCATATCCAAGAGGTTGATCAACATATAGCTCTTCTAGTAGGTCTCCATGCAGGAAGGCTGATTTTACATCCAGCTGATAGATAGGCCATGACTTCTGTGCAGCCATGGATAATACTAGTCGAATGGTGTCAAGGCGAGCAACTGGAGCAAACACCTCCTTATAGTCAACTCTATATTCCTGCTTATACTCTTTTACAACAAGTCGGGCCTTGTGCTTGTTGATGCTGCCATCTTTATTTAGTTTGGTTTTGTAAACCCATTTGACTCCGATGGCTTTTTGTCCTGCTGGAAGGTCTACCAAGTCCCAAGTGTTGTTCTTTTCAATGGCCCTGATCTCTTCATCCATTGCTTTTTGCTATTTTGGATCCTTAGCAGCTTCTTCAAAGCTAATAGGATCGCAATCTGCAAATAAGGCAAAGTGAGCAATATCTTCATCAGATAACCCCTCACCTGTTACATAGTCTTGCATCCAGTTAGGTTTCTTTCTGGGACGTTGTTGAGGCTCTTCTGTAGGGTCAATCTGAATGGTGTGTTTGCCAGAGGTTTGAATTTGTTGAGGAGATGATAGGTCTGTATCTTTATCATCAAAACTAACCTGCACAGGCTGCTGCCTAGAAACATCATCACTCCAATTCCAAGTGTTTCCCTCGTCAAAAACAACGTCCCTGCTGATTACAATCTTTTTGGTGACTGGATTGTAAAGCTTGTAAGCCTTGAAAACTTCACTTATCCCCAGGAAGATGCACTTTTCACTTCTGTCATCCAATTTCTTTCTTTTCTGATCAGGAACATGTGCATATGCAATGCACCCAAAGATTTTGAAGTGGTCAACAGATGGCTTTCTCCCACTCCATGCTTGTTCTGGTGTCATGTTGAGGACAGAAAAAGTAGGGCTCCTATTCAGCACATGAACACTCCAATTAACTGCTTCAGGCCATAAGGTTTTCGGGATTCTTCCTTTGGTGATCATGCTACGAACCATGTTGAGAATGGTTCTATTCTTCCTCTCAGAGACTCCATTCTGTTGAGGTGAATAGGCTGCAGTAAGCTCCCTTCGAATGCCTTGGTTGTCACAGAAGGCATCGAACTCCTTGGAGCAATATTCTCCACCTCGGTCAGTCCTTAGAGTTTTTATGGCTCTCCTTGTCTCTTTCTCCACTTGTGCCTTGAAACTTTTGAATATCCAAAAGCTTCTGACTTTTCCTGCAAAATATAGACCCAAGTCTTCCTAGAATAATCATCGGTGAAAGTAATAAAATAACGGTTACCACCGTTGGAAGTCGGAGTGATAGGGCCACAAATGTCAGAATGGATCAACTCTAGTACTTTTTTGGCTCTCCATGATTTTCCTTGAGGGAACTGAGAGCGAGGTTATTTGCCAACAACACAGTCTTCACAAACTTGTGAAGGAGCTATAATCTGAGGAAGACCTTTAACCATATTCTTCTGTTGAAGAGTCCTCAATCCTCCAAAGTTCAAATGCCCGTATCGGTAATGCCAAAGCCAAGATGGATTCTTGATTTCGGTCAAAAAACAGGAAGGAGCATGCTGAAGTTTTAAGGGGAATAACCTGTTTGTACTCATCTTGATGGCAGCAATGGCTCCTCTTTTAGGATCATATATCTCGCACGATCCTTTCTGGATGGTTATTACATAACCCTTCTCTTGCAGTTGTCCAACGCTCAACAAGTTACTTTTCAGGTCTGGAACATAGAAGACGTTGGAGATGGTTTCTACAAAGCCATTCTTGGTGCGGATGTTAATATCACCTTTCCCGAGTACCTCAACTGCAGAGCTATCACCAAAGCGAACAGTTGATTGAAAATTCTCATTTAGATTTGAGAAAAGTGACTTACTTCCGCACATGTGATTGCTGCATCCCGTGTCTACATACCATACATCTGATTCGGATGGGTTTGTGACGTGGGTGGCCATCAGAATGGTTTCAGCATCATGCTGCTATTCCTGTTGTTCTGCAAAGTTTGTTTTCTCCCCTCTTTCTTTATTCGGCATTTTGGTGTAGCAATCATAACTGTAATGGCCGAATTTGTGACACCTATAACATTCGACCTTGGATTTGTTATGTCGTCCTCTCCCTCGGCCTTGGTTGTTGTTGGCTTTTGGATGCTGTTCCTGTTGTTTGTCTCCGTATCTGAAACCCTGTCCTTCTCTTCCTTTACCTCTTCCCCTTCCTCTTCCCCGACCTCTTCCTTAGAGTTCGAAGATCGGGAAGGAGTATAGGCTTTAAGGGCTTGTTCCTCCTTAGTTGAACTTCGAGTCAACTTTTGCTCGTGTACCAGAAGGGAGCTTTGGAGTTCATCAACTGAGAGTAAATCAAGATCTTTAGATTCCTCAATGGAGCAAACAACAAAATCATACCTCGGTGTCAGGGAGCGCAAGATCTTTTCAACAATGGTGACATCTTCCATCTTCTCTCCTTGAAACCGCATCTTGTTGACAATCTCTATGGTTCGGGAAAAATAACTCGTGATAGACTCACCGTCTTTCATCTCGAGAATCTCGAAGTCTCGTCTCAAGGCTTGAAGCTGTGCACGCTTTACTCTTGATGAGCCTTGATATTTCTTTTTCATGGAGTCCCATATGTCCTTTGAAGTCTCCTTGTTGAGAATAGTCTCCAAGACCGTTCGGTCTATTGCCTGGAAGAGATAGTTTTTGGCCTTCAGGTCTTTCAGCTTTAAACTCTCCAATTCTGCCCTTTGGACGGCTGTCAATATTGTTGGTGTTGATGGTTCTGCTCTGCCTTCGATTTTGGATGAAGGTTCTGTAATACCTTCACTAACCACCTGCCAGTATTCTTTGGATCTCAAGAAATTCTCCATCAACATGCTCCAAGTGGTCATAATGTCCATCAAACCGTGGAATGGCGGGTTG